CGGTAAGTGCAGGTCTGTTATTGCTTTCTTTTTTATCCTGCTTTCATCAGCTTTCATCAATTGGTATTGGTCTGGGTGTTCTTTGATTGTTGGGACTGAATTTACATATTATTTGCATTAGAAAAAGTTGATTATGAAGTAGTCTAGAGTGATTAAGACAACGGGGAGCAATCTCTCATATGACTCCGTTGATAGATCAACGAATTTACTCTGAATTAGTTGAGTTGAGTGAATCATGGTGTTACATAGTGATTATAATCTAACTGAGTGGGAGAAAACCTAATGATTTCCCATAGTTTGGTGGCTCTTCTGTAAATGGTCCTTTGCCACTAAAGCTGCTACTTCCACTAGGATTATTGCAGCTAAATAGTTTTATAACTTCGATCTTTTGTTCGTCTGATGTGATAGATGACTAAGATAAAGTTAACAGAGTAGTTCTTAAGCCACTCCTAATGCTCTAAGAATTGGTTAGAAGTATGTTCTGTATATATGTATACAAATTTGGTGTTTCCAATGTGATGGCAGCAGTCTTATGCTACGCTGTGATTTTTTAAGCCATGATTTGATGATCAAACAATAACCATAGGAAATGTGATCACACAATGCAATTGCAGAGATGTTCATTCTTTCATGCTCATTGGTTATTGTAAGTCATGTCTATATGATTTCATTTAGTTGATAACCCCATTTCTTCCTCAGATAAGGATTCTTCTACCCATGTAGCCAGTGCTCCCAAATAAGCTTTTGTATAGAGAAGTTGCTTCAACTGCTAAGTGCAGCTGGGATTTTGGGTTTGGTTGTGGAAACAGATTTGACATTCCATCTCCGATACAGTGCTTCTTAAAGAAATACTGGCTTGCAACATGAAAATGAGCTTTAAGTTATCATCCTAAAATCATATTGGGGTACCTGCCGCAGAGCTCGGGCTGTCTTTGAGAGAACTAATCAAAGAGTTGGAACGGTTGCAGGCTAAGAATAAGGGTCCTTCGGTCTCTCCCTTCCCAATGTTTACAGTAGCAAATTGATAGTGATAATGTTTGTGGAAACTGTAGCAAATTCATGGGAACAAGCCGAAATTGCTCACAAGATAAATGAAATCTATCCATCGACCATCATGATCTGGCTTTGGTGAATGTATCTTTCATTAATGATAATGCAACACTATTGACGCCCAAATCACAAGAGCTAGAATGGGAGTGCATTTACTGGTGTAGTTAATTTGGTTTTTCGGGTTCGATTCAATTAGGTATTAAAAGGCAGAGAAAAGAGATTATGGGTGGCATTGAGAGAGACTTATGAGTTAGGAATGTTAATGATGTATAAACTCTACTTATATGCATAAATCTCCGGAATCTCTCTTCCTTTATATATAATCATTCATCAGTACCATCTGTTTAACATTTGAAACTCAATATAATTGTTATTGGTTATTTATTTGTTGTAAAATTTGTCATGTAAATACACACGTCCGCAAAGCGAAGGTCAAATTGTCATTCCGCCGCAAAGCGCGGGCTAAATAGCTAGTACTTTCTTAAATTCAATGACCAAATTGGGGATTTCTTCTACTTTCCATCTCTCGGTTTCTACAAGGTTTGTATGGTAGCATCTGAATTTAGAAACTCAAGTATTTATATTTATTTATATATCTCTATACTTGCTATATCTTCTTATAGGACTGAGCTCAACTTTTGGACGAATTTGCTTCCACCAGTATTGCTACATTTTATACAAGCTTTGTTGCTAACTATGATCATATGCTTTATTTGGTTAGTGTGCCTTGGTGAATCGCACCATCCTGGTGTGGATTTCCATTTGCCTTGCCTGATAGGTCACTCATTCTCTTGCTTTCTTATGTTTTTTTTTTATATTGTTGTCGTATAAATGACAATTTTGTTCTCTCTTGCTTTTTCAATTGTAGGAAGATCGGTGTACCTTTGAATCAATAAGAATTCTCTCTACTCATCACCAGAGGCAACAATAACAGAGGAAGGAGGCTGGATTTTACTTGTGTTGCCAGCAAGAACGGAAGCATGGTTGATTGCCAGATGTTGTTGTCGAGGTGTGAATCCTCCTCTTGCATGACCAGTGCTCTTTTATTAGTTATAGCTTCTTTGTGGTCTCTCTACTCAGGGATAGTTTATGCTACACTTGAAATTTTATTTGCAGGTCTCGACGGAAATCATCAAAGATGGTATTAGAGCACAAGTCAGTGTGCACATATGCACATCATATGTGAATTTTGGTGGGAAATAACACCTGAAATATGCAAGCTACCGAGGCAAGTCTTGGCCAACATAGTTGGGATTTTGTGAGGCTGTTTAGTTCGAGGATAGAATTCTGTGAGGGTATTTGATCATTTAATTGAAAGATGAGTTTCTATGTGGTTTAGCGTTCTCATACTCAAATGTTCTGTTTTTCCCTTTCATTGATCTCGCAAGAATTGAGCTAGAGGCATTCTAGGTTACCGTGTATGCTTTGCTAAGTTGAGTTGTATCCATGTCTCAGCTCTTTAGAATCACGGGAAAGCCCTCAATTTCATTTCCTTTGAATGACTTCTATGCTTCTGGGTTTTATAGATCGTTGATGGATGGATGTTTGTACCAAAGAAGCAAACTTCTGTCGAGGTTCTGCTTGATGTCTATTTGAGGTCTTAAGCTGCTTCAAGGGGAAAAGAAAGGAGCTCAAGTGCATGTGTTTCATAGTGCTGGCCTAGCCTTCTCAACAGCAACCGCAGGGAATAACTTACCCATGTGAAAGTCACCGAAGCTGTGATTTCTGAATCTGTTGAAAAAACATAAGGTGATGTTACAATTGTTAGTGAAGGGGGGTTTGGATAATGGGCAATGGCCGGTTAGGAAAGGAAGTCAGCTGTTAGATCAGGAGCTGCGACAGGGAGGGATGTGCAGTATCCTTTCAGTTGAAGAAGGTTGGTTTGTCGTGGACACCACTCACGAATGATTTTGCTTATGGAACATTTAGTTGTTTTCTATCATTTTAATTCCTTTAACTTCTCATTTTTGTGTCTTTTGGCATGGAATAACATGACTAATTGACTACATAAAATGTTGTTGTACACAGCTTATGACTGTAAGGTATTTTGCTTTATGGCCAAGCTTAACAGATTTGTGGCAGATTATTGAGCATTGTCTTGATAATATTTACAGTACGATGTTTTCTCTTCATTGCAAGTCACCAACACACCATTGTCAGGCACGTCAATCCAGAATTGCCTTAACAGTGGTGACCACCTCCTCATTACTGACCATAACATGATGTTATTGCAAAGATGATATTGTTGCAACTTAGGTCCAGCGGCGTAGCCTATGCCGCGGGTGTTGATTCTAGTTTATGTATGAATGTTAGGACGACCTTTAACTATACAACTTTTTTTAGTGGCTTGCCGGTCCTTTTCTCACCAAAACTCTTCCACTCCCATCTTTCTGATTCTTTCCTTTCTCCGTCATGGCAACAGGTTTTGAACTACAACTCTCCCCAGTCTATTTATTCAAAGACGAATTTAAAGTAGTCTAAGTGGATGATGCAGACATTGTTATTGCAGTTCAAAGTGTGATAAAAGATCTCGAGGTTGTTGGGCACCTACAAGGATCCAAAATCTTTGAAATCGGAATTTTCAAGACGGCTCCTCCAACACGGCCAGGAAAACTGACTTAGAAGTGGCCATAGTGGAGAATGGTCTCTTTGCTCTCCAGTTCTTGGATGAGGAACAAGGTTCTTCAAGGAGGACCATGGCATTTTCAGAATCGACTACTGATCCTTCTGTTTCCACCCCCTTCATTCCGAAGCTAAACCGTAAGATTGTCTCCCCAACAAGGTCATAGTACAACCAATAGCCTAGCATAGTGCTCGTTGTTTGGAACAAGTAAAAGCTTACAGGTATAGAGTGGCCCGACAAGGCTAAATGATCGGAAAAGAATGGATAGAATGGCTAAATGATCGGAAAAGTATGGATAGAATGACGATCACATTTGTACACTTATGGCAATTGGCCAAAAAGAAAATGAAGAACAAGAGATTAGTGAGAAGTAGAAGACGACGGTTGTCTCCAAATTGCAAGAGAGCAGGGCCATTTTTTTCACTCAATGAAACTGCATAAGTAGTGCAAGCCACACAAAAAGAATCAAGAAAAGCTACAAGTTAAAAGGAAAGGAACAAAGGAGCAAGGAGAAATAAGCAGGGACAACACCTGCACTAAATTGGAATTCTAAGTGCACGTACCTATCCAAACAATAGATCCCCAATCATAAAAAGGTTAAATTGGTTTTTAACGGCTCTGACCACCTCCAATCAACACATTTATTATATATCGCACAAGATTACATTGCGAAAATCTCTTAAATAGCCACGAATGTTTTCTCCTGCCCCCATCAGTAGAATGAAACCAGTGCCGGCTGCCAACTGAAAAATACACAAGGCGAAGCACACCCATTTTCCCTACCATCCACTTATTCCACATTCTACCACCCAATGTTCAGATTACAACAACGGCTTGGCCTTCTTCTGCAGTCAGATTAATCATAACATATGTGAGATGGGAGATAAGATAAGAAACGAGATCACAAAAAGATATTCAGAGCAGACCAATATAGCGTCTTAGCATGAAGGGACAAATTTCTCAAACAATTGCAAACAGAACAAGACATGCGAGTGCTACTTTGCATGCGAAGCGTACAAATGGCGAAGTAGATAGATATTCAGTTTAAGAGACCGCAGGGTATGATGCAAAGACGAAAGGATTCTCAGCAATCTCGCACAGAATTAGACATGTTATGTATGTACTACTTAGCATGTTAAATGAGAGAGTAGTAAGGATGCTCAAGATGTCTTCCCTTATCCTGTTAGGGGAATATATGGAAATGCTTCTTTCGGCTTCCACCAGTGCATTCTCAAACCCTATCAAAGACTCGGAACACAGAAGAAAGAGGGGAGAAACGCAAAAAAAGAAAAAGACAGAGAATACAAATGCAACACATCTGTTCATCTTAGATTTGAGAAATCAAGGGTAAATTCGCAGAAGCAGAAGTGATACCAATTATAGGAGTTGCTTCCACAGTCTGAACCAAACAATTGTAGCTTCCATCATACACAGCTCGCAATTCCTTATACCTTGGAATCGAAATAGGGCAGCTAGAGAGGCCAGGCTGAAAACTTACGAAAGGAACCAGACATTGTCCCAGAGGACCCAAGAACTCTAGCTCACCCGTCCGCAAGTTGCAAGACAAGATTGCATAACCATAACGATGACCAAAAGATTGCAAGAAGATGATTTCCGGCTTTTCTGGATGCAGATTACGTACTTGAATATACTCGAGGTCGTAATCACTCCATGATGTCTCACTCAACCACATTTCATATAGTTTCCTCCAAGACTTACCATCTTCTTCCAGCCTCCAAACAGTGAAGGCATTCCTTGAATAAATAATAGGTGCCCTTTTAGCTTCAGCTACAATTATATGCAAAGCATCTTGTGAGACAGAAGCAATCCACTCTCGGAGTTCGGACTCGGGCTGTGGGATTGAAGAAGTGTCAATAACGGTGGGAGGCATTTCAAGGCAGAAAGGATTGAAAGCCACCATTGGATAGCCAGGAACCCCGGTATAATGAAACCACCAAAATAACTCCCCATTGCACGAAAGTGAATTGGGCCGAATCTTTCTTAGTCGACCAGCAAGAACAAGAGCATCCTTGGTCCATTCTCCAGACTCTGAACAATACACGTCCAGTTTTAAAGTTGCAACCGGCTCGAAAGTTGCATATACACACACCACCCGAAACCGATAGTCAGAATGAACACATACTTGGCCATCGCCTAGCTGAAGATTATAGTTATGACGGGGTTGACAAACTAACCTCGCGTGCACATATTTTATATAGGCACGGCCATGAGCACCCTCCTTTTCAGGCGCTAAAGGAAGGGCGATCCATTGCTTGGTAATCGGATTGCAGACCAAATACGATCTACCAAGTTCGTTGTCGACATAAATTCGATCCACAAACCCGCACAAAAGCAAGTCCTTGAAGGAATCAAGGACTGCAAAACGGCCTCGACCTTGCTCCGGCACAGGGAGAAAGCTGAGGATGGTCGATGTTTCCGGGTGGTCGTCGGAGCGAAGAAGTAGAGGCGGGTCATCTTTGATGGTCTGATAGTGAGAGATGAAGCGGCGATTGAAGTATGGAGAGAAGATTAGGGAGTTCCACCGCTTGCAGACGGCTTTGCAGCGGCAGGCGGTTCTAGGAGTCGGGAGTCGAATCAGAATTTCTACGAGCAGATCGTCGGCCCTGAGTTTGGTGAAGGGAGACGGCGGAGGGTTTACCAACTCTGATGGAAGAGTTGAGCTTTTTCGAAGGGTCGCCATGGCGGTGGACCAACAAAGGGATGGATGGAAAACGCCGACGGAGGAGACAGCGATACTTTATATGTGCGGCTGACTGACTGCCTTTTGGGTTTTCCTTCTCCCGAACTGAAATGGTGGGTTTCTGTGTTTGGTTTTATTTCGTTTTCCTTCTCCCGAACTGAAATGGTGGGTTTCTGTGTTTGGTTTTATTTCTTCTGATTCAATGAACAGCACTGTTCCTTCCGGGCTTCGGCCTTGAAGGGCCTGTGTTGTTGGCCACCGCAGGATCCTCGAGATGGGCCAATCTGTATTGGGCTTTTGTCGGTTGGGCACAAACTCTTTCGTGGTTGGATTTACGGGTTTGGCTCATCATTTATATTGTTATTTTATGTCTAGTTTGGAAAGTAGAGTAAACTCAGGCAAATTATTAAATCCACCAATGAAAGATACGCCACGACAAGTTCCAGCTGTGGTTCGGTGGCAATCTCCAAAATCAGGACGATATAAGCTTAATGTGGATGGTAGCTATTATTCTCATACAGAACTTGCTGCCATTGGTGGTGTGGTTCGGGACTCCAAAGCAGCATGGGTTTATGGTTTCGCTTACAACATCAGTCGATGTTATATTTTACTAGCAAAGTTGAGAGCGATAAGAGATGGTTTTATCACTAGTTTGTGGCTTGGAATTAGAAGAATTGAAGTTGAGACGGATTCACAAGCAGCAATACTATTGATATACGGAAATACCCCTTTAAGTCACCTTGACTGGGTATTGATAGATGATTGTCATCGACTAACCTAACAACGATCCACTAACATTTTCAATCAAATAAATAAATCGTCACGATCCAACTTCCAATGAAGGATCGGATCAGTCGAGTTCTTGTGGGGGATGTGGCACACAACTTGAGGGGGGGGTGCTCTCTTGAAATGTTTTTATCAATTTTTTTCCCATCTTCTTGTATCATATTATTACTTCTCGAAATGTTAATGATTTTGATCATTTAATGATAAGAAAATAAAAGCATCCCCAATTCAACTTGTTACGTTGGTTGGTATGACTTTGACTTCATTCATGAGGAGGTTGCAAAACTTGCAATGATTCCATGGCCAATTGGCCATGCATAATGATAATGCAGCCTCACTGGCTTTCCCTCTTTATGGAGAGTAGGTAGGTGAAGACTGGCAGAGCCCAGCCCAGGTTTTTTTTATTAATTTCTCAACGGTGGTCGAGAGCTGATCGAAAGAGCGGGACAGGTTACGGTGATTACTACAACCGTGGTTACTAAGGGTAAATTGGGTATGGAAAAATAAATTATATTAATTTTTTTAATAAATTACATTTAAGGTAGTTACAAAAATCTATTAATTAAAAATCTCTCTTTCTCTCACTTCCCTAATCTCCAGCCAGATTTCCTTTCCATATTTTTCTCAATCTTTCTGCAAAAAAAAAAAAAAAAAACAAAATCAGTACCAATCCATTAGACAAACACTACCACTTTGAAAAATATCAATACCATTGCAAAAATAAATCTATACCATTACACGAAAACTACCATTGCAGAAATAAATTTATACCATTACACGAAAACTACCATTCAGGAAATAAAAACACTACCATTGTACAAAACATCAATACCATTCGAGAAATAAAAACATTATCATTTCACAAAACATCAATACCATTGCAGATTTAATCACTACCAATGCGACAAAATCAATACCAATATAACAAAATCAATACCAATGCGACAAAATCAATACCAATGTGACAAAAACACTACCACTACGGGGAAAATGACTACCATTTAAAAAAAATCACTACGGAAAAAAATGACTACCATTAAAAAAAACATACCGTACAAAAACCCTAATGTCTCCGATTCGGCAACAAAATTAAGAGGGGGGGGAAACAAAACAAACCGAGAGAAAAAAAAAAACCCACTAACACACAAGAGATTAGAACTTACAAAGTCAACAGAGTAAGTGATCGGTGGGGGAAGTAACTTCTTATTCTTATTGGGCTCCCGGCGGAACGAGCTTGCTGCGGTAGAGCTTGCCGAAGACGTGGAGGGCGGTGACGAAGCCGATGAAGCAGAGGCTGAGGACGAGGACGACGGTCGGGGAGATCTTGATCCCGGGAGCATCGTCGGTGTAGAATCGGAGCATGTTCCCGCCGGAACTTCCGACGCCTCCTTCCGAGGCAGAAGAAGCAGTGGACGAAGGACCTCCGAGCCGGCGTTGGCGCATCCCGGCGGTGGCGGCAGCGGAGCCCCGAGGGGCTGTGACGGCGGGACGGGCGGGTTTGACTGTAGAAGTAGGGTTAGGGTAGAATATATAGAATAATCCAATGCGGTCTTTTTTTTTTCTTTCAAAATTATCCTGAGGCAATCTTAACCGTAAGATTAAAAAAGGAAGAAAGAGAAGAAAATAAATGGTGGATACTGATGTAGCCATGGTGGCTACGAAAAATTCAGTCACCACCCTAACGCATCCCTCGAAAGAGCTGATGGCGAGAGACTGGTATTATATCATTGTTTTTAATGTCTAGTGGTACCATTTTCTTGTTTAATTATAAAACCAAAAAGCCCACTTGTCTTTTATCATTTGCCATCATCATGGGAACGCAGAAAAGGGAACTTAACGGTGTGTTTGATTTGGCAGAAAGGTTGAGCAAAAATATCGCAATAAAAAAACCCCGGAAAAAAGGTTTAGTCACTGTTCACCAATGCATCATGAGGTTCATGAATAAAGGGTTGTTTGGTTGGATGCAATCGACCGGATTACCAATTACACATGATAGAATAAGTTTAACGTTTACTCGTTAATGTATTTCACGAAATTTAATGTGAGTATATTATGAACGTGTTTTGTCACGTCTTTTTTTTTCTATGAAACTGCATTGAATCAAATAATATTTTTTATGCCAATGTATATATCGTAAACTTCCCGGCTACATCGGAAAACAAATTAGCATGCAGAAAGCTATATAGTGCAATGCAATCAAACAATTAATGGAGAAAATTCATAGTTATGAAATCTAATTATTGTTTACACAAATGATATATTTCCCCCATGATTATTAGCTACACCGCTCATTGGCTGTGAAAGAAGGAATTAGGAATGACAATGGGACAGCTACGAGGCAGGTATCTCGATACTCATACCCGCCCCATGGCAGGTCGGGTTCAGGTCGGATAATTTTATATGGGCTACAAGTCGGGGCAGGTCAACCCAATGGGTATGTAATTTATATGAATAACATTAAAAACATCTGTTATTTTCACTAAAAGACCAATAAACAAACCATAATATGATAAATAGTTAAATTATTGGACAAATTGAGGTTTCACTTATTTACAACTTTATTATAGATAAAATATGAGGTAATCTATAAAATACGGATGTCAATAAAGAGCCTTTGCCACGTCAGCTCTTCCTGTGCAACCCGTATTGCTAGGGAGGACACCCCTGTAATTACTCAACTCGCTCCAAGCGCCAATTCACACTCACAACCCAGGCTGCCACGTTTCTTCTCCGGAACACCAGCTGTCAATAAATCTTCTTCAATCCCTAAAATATCTCTGTATAAGTCCGTCGCCGCTGAATCAACAAATTCATCCGCTGCCTCTTTTTCCAGTCACCGATTCAACTTTCGAAACTGAATAGCTGCTGGTGAATCGTACCGAGTTAGGAGTTGATGCCGACCGAAAATTAACAATTGTTGTCTGTGGCTTCTCCCTCTCCCAGTCCGTAAGTATTCCTCTCCCTCTACCCCCTCCATCTTCCCCAGCATCGCTTTCTACTCCAGGATTGCTTGGGCGAAGTGCATCCAAAATATGGGTAGGTGAATGATCTTGGAAATTGACGGGGTGATGAAGTAATTATAGTAGGATAAAAGTGAATGGGTTTGGTGGAAAGGAAAGAAGCATAATGTTGGTATTGGAATCAGCAATAAGTTGGTACTTGAAGATTAGTAGATTAGTCCTTATGTTATGGTGATCGCGTAATTGAAAATGATATGTGGGTTAAGGAATATAATAAGATTGGAAATAGATCAAAAGTATGTTTTTGTTCAAATTAGATGGAATTTGGATAAGAGTGAACAAAGATCAAAGGAAAATAGAGGACAAAAATTCGACCAAAAGTATGTTTTGTTCATTATGTTCGATTTTATCTAGCGTTAATTTTAATTTCGGTACAGTTCTCTTTCATAATAAGATAATTTATAAGATCAATAATCAAAATATACTCAATCTTATTCAATTCAGTTTAGATATCAATTCAATGCAATTTACTCCGATGTAGACTTGATGATTACCCACCTCAAAAAAAGAATTGTACCTGAGACTGCAGTTCCGTGAGTAGTATGTGGCGAAGTCCTAAACTCCGACTTTAACTTCCTACAACTGTATGTCTATCGATTTGTCTAATGCTTTGCCAAATATAAAGTCAATAAACTATTATACATAAACAAGTTTCATGCAATTCCAATAACCAAACTCCACGTCGGTCCAATTTTAGGTGATTCCTTAGCTTTTGATACTATATTCTCCCCCTTTTACTTTGGGTTAGGGATACTATTGCCAGATAAATTCTAACTTGGCCTCTTCATGGAATAACACCAATTATATACCAAAGCAATAGATTTAACCCAATTTAAACAAAAATATGTGCTCCAATTTGTGGACCGTAGATATACAAATTACAATGTAATCTCATGCTTACCAAGACAAGAAAAGCTTACCAAGGTTTCCACCAATAATGATAAGTGCAATAATGATCATACACCACAAAATTTGCATCCCTAAATTCGAGGATAAACTATTCAAATGTATATTGATAGAGACTAATAACGAAAAGATGTCAACCGTTGTTGTGAAAGCCTTTTATGGATAGAGATCGAAAGTCTACAAACAAACGATATTATTTCAATAAAGAACGAACCTCATCTATTTGTTGCCCTAAAATTTTTTAGACCAATCCAAGCAAACTTATATATACGGTCAATATTTAGTAGGTCAATTTTCATGTATGGGAATGTTAGTGAGTGGATTTTTAAATTGTTTCTAATTTGCTTAATGCGTACCATTCTGCAAGGTGATCAATTGGAGTTTCAATGTGTAACTTTATAACATGAAGTTAGTTTATCCAATTCGTTCTCAATTGTCAACTTCTTTAATTTTATATACACACTTTACTTCTGGCGTGATAAATTTGGTATTGTTGAAGTTGAAAAGAATGTATGACAAAACTTAGTTAAAATTTTGTTTCACATATTTTGTTGATATTTCACAAATTCGATCTTTCCTTCAAGAAGAAATAGAAAACTCCGCCGGCCAATGGGCCGGGCACGATTACTAGTAAAATGAAAATCCTAAGTAATTTGACTAAGATTACATGTAAGTTAGGCAAAAACGGGTCAAGAATAGGACGGGTTAGGGTAGATCGGGTCGATGAGAGGTAGCCATGCCCGCCCCGCCTACGGAATAGGTCGGACCCGTCCAAAACAGGTCAACCAGGTCGAGTAAAACGAGTGAGGTTGAAATTGTCATCTCTAAAAGAATTGAGATGATCAAGTAATAATAATAAAGAGGTATATATGAATTCTAAAAATTTAACTAATTCCTCGTGTAGAACGTGGTACGTTTGTTCTATGCGTCAATTGAATTCCCCCGGAGCAAAAGGGGAAAACAAAGAAAGAATTGTCTTTGGGCCGCCCCTTCGATCGTTCCTACTTTTTCATGGACTTTCAAACAATCGAAATTATTGTATAGCTCTTTCTAGTCTCTACCTACCTTCGTTTGGTCCCCCTTCATCCTCCATTTCTCCTGGCCGTTTCGGCCGTATTGCCAAACGCGGCCTTAAGTCAACATAAAGAACTGCACCGCCGCGACCACCGGAAGCTGGCCGGCCGACCGGAAGAGGATTAGTTAATTAATTGATTAAATATGAAGCCATGTTGCATGCACAATTATATTATTATTATTATTATTATTATTATTATTATTATTATAAAATGTATCACATGCAAGTGTGCTAGCTGGAGATGATGGGGGTGTAGTGTAGACTCGTTTGAAAACGTTTATTAAATTATTACAGATTTGTCAGAGCAGCTCCTTTGTCGTAACTAGTAACTGACTTCTGATGGATCTATCGGTCTGAAAGGTCAAACCAATATAAATGATTTATTCCATACTTTGTGAACACTTAGAAAATCCCATAATTCAACTTGCTGCCTGGCGTATATTTACTCACCAAACACTAATCTTGTGAGCCGCGAAGCTTGTTGATATAATTTGAATCGGACTATCAGTTGACTCATTGGCGTAGCTAGAGATATCATTTAGTGGGGTCCAAACAAAATGAAATACAAAGTTTGTCTCAATAGTGAAATCATTGTCTTGTGAAGAGGGGTCTGGTGTTCTAAATTTACTAACCACACCTTAAAAATCCACTATTTTTAATTTATATTCATTTTCCAAGTGGGTTCCATGGACCCCACATCCCCTCACCTAGCTCCACCAATGTCAGCCGCTACGACTGCAATAGTCGGGGGTATACGAGCTTAATGTTATTTGGGTTCGGGTTCTGGGCCTGGTATGTAACCGTTTCTTTTGCCATATTGGATTAGGTTTAGACCCACATGAAGAAGTATATATAAATACTTCTCATCTCCTCGATATAGTGAAACTGGCTCTCCTGCCCGTGGACTTAACACACATTGTGTTAGTGAACCAAGTAAATCGTGTGTCGTGTGCTTTTTATTTCCGTTTTCTTGCTTTGTCGATTTCAGCGATTTCCCGATCCATAGCAGCGCGGTTATAACAAAGCTTGATCTCACATTCTCTCCTGGTTAATTGATTCGTTATTGGATTGAAGCGCGATTCGATTGAATTGTATATGTATAATTCGATATGTCGATATTGATATGAATCTATATGAACGGTAACCTAATAAATATCCAAATCAAATTCAAGCCAAATATGTGTTGCATTTCTGTGGTGGAAGGCTTGGAACGCTCCGAGCCCCCTGATGGGGCGAGCGAGTTCCTCCCAGAATCGCATGACGACACAGATTGGATGGAAGCCACCCCCGCCTGGCTGGAGTAAGCTTAATGTAGATGGTGCAACGAGTGCTAGTCAAGGGATAGCAGGCGCAGGGGGAACCTTGAGGGACGCCGACAACAACTGGAATGGTGGTTTTGTGGCTGGATAGCCATTTGTTCGGAGTTATGGGCTATTTATCAT